TGTAGGTGACCAGATAGAGAAATACTCAGCACAAAGACCAGGATGAGCATGTTGAGGGGAATTGATAATGTGGGCAAAGTTCCTGCCTTAGCAATAATCTTTACAGCTGCTTGAAGCTGTTGATCCTACCACCACCAATTGTTAGACTGAGTCAAGTATGTGTCCTCTGTTCCCATTAACATAAAATTAGCAGCATTGTCTTCCACAATGAGCCAGGCACTTAATGTATGTGTGGTATGTTGTACTCATGGGCTGTGTGAGCCTGCGTGGCATCAGAAGTATGCTGTGTGGAAGAAACTTAGTCCGGTTTTTTCTAGGGAATGAATCTTTTGTGGTCAGGATAGGGATGGGAGTTGTTTTAGAAACATGCCCCAGCTTCACTTGCCCATATACGGGTTCTGTGCCATCCACTCATACATGTCCCTTGAATCCCAGTCTCTTTCCTGATGCATGGTTTTCCCCAGTCCACTCTGCTTTCCATTCTCCCTAGAGGGCTCTGAGCCACTACTAGAACTTTCTTCTCTCACACATTCTCCCCATTACCCCCAAAGGTCCTCTTCTCTTCCAGAACCTCGCTTAGTTCCTTCAGCCTGTATGAATCTGTAACGAATCTGTCCAGTGTAAACTATTCTGGATTTAGTCATCGCAAGCATATTTAATTTACCCCCTTAATACTCTTTAGTTCCTGTATGTGATAGTATTCTTCAAGAAAATAGAGCCCAATAGGATATATAGAGAGAGAGATCTGTAGAGACTTTATTGTGGCAATTCAGAAAGTCTTCAAGGAAACAGAGCCAGATAGATAGATAGATAGATAAGAATATGGGTGGAAGCTTTTGTTATGTGATTGTGGAAGTTGAGAAGCCCCATAATTTGCTGTCTGCAAACTGGAGAACTAGGAAAGCTGGTGATATAGTTCACTTCAAATTCAAAGGCCTAGAAACCTGGAGAGCTGGTGGCATAACTCTTAGAACAAAATTGAAGGATTGAGAACCAAACACTGTATCCAGAAGTAGGAGAAGTGGGCAGGCCCAGGTCTAGAAGAGAGAAGAATTCAGCCTATCTGGGGCACAAGATGATACCACCCACTTCAGTAACAACAGATCTTCTTTACTTGGGCCGATTCAAATGCTAATCTCTCTTGTAAATACTTTTGTCTTGTAAAGACACACCCCAAAATAATGTCTTGGTCAAATTGACAGATAAAATTAGCCATCATAGTACACGTGTGAATGACATACAGAACCAAGTCTATACCTGAGACATGCAAGATAATTTTAGCTGTATTAAGTTGTACTTGGAACTTCAATATTTGTGTGTCCTTGCCTTAGTTACTTTTTCATTTCTGGGACAAAGTATCTGACACTCACAATTTAAAGGAGAAAAGGTTATGTTGGGTCATAGTTTATAGCGATTTTAGTCAGCTGGTTCCAAAACAGAGCTGCATGACTGGAGAGAAATACCTCATGGTGGCATTGGGAAGCAGAGTAGAGTCAAGAAGGAAAGGGAGAGAAAGACTCTGCTAGCTCATGCCCCAGGGACCACCCCCTCGAATCAGACTTAACCTGCCAACACTGCTATAAGGATTTGTGTCTGGATATCCCCCCAAAGCCTCATGTAGTCATGAGGGGCAGGCATTTTTGGAGGTAACTGAATGTAGAATATGTGAGTGATTCATAGTGTAGTATGCTGGAATTAAGGATGTGAGTGCCATACCGGCTGTAGGCGGGGTAGCCTGCATACAATATGAGGGACCAAAAACACTTGTCTGTCTCTCACTGCTCTGCTGTCTTCTGCCAAAATGAACTGCCATACTTCTCTGTAGTGTGTCACCCTGCCTTGGAACCAGCCAATTATGGACTAAAACCTCTAAAAATTGTGAGCTAAGTCCTTTCCTCCTTTAACTTCGGGCATTGGGTATTTTTTCTCAGAAAGGAAAAAAGTAACTAAGACAGCTACATTTAACTGTAAACTCATCAGTGGACTAATCCATTGATGAGTATCACACCCCTATGATCCAGACTCCTTCCAAAAGGCCCATCTATGAGTGCATAAGACTTTAGGAGGACATCTAGATAAAAACCACAGTAGTGCTCCTGGGGCTCTTCTGTAAATTTGTCTCTCCCTCTTTAGATTATTGTCACTTTCAGAACCAGGCCCAGATGTTTTTCATTGGCATATTTTATAGTATCTGATCTGATCATATATATTCAGGGAACCATTGTGAAAGACCAAAATAGCAAAGCGTTGCATTAGCTTCCAGTTTTCTACTTTTCTAATTAATTGAGGTAACTTTTTATTCATTATATAAAATAACTTCAAGAATATGATGATATTTAAATGTAACAATAAACATCAAAAACCTTTTTCTTCCCTCAAAGTGAAATTATATTCAAGAGTACTACAAAACTAAAATTACTCAAAAAATTTTCAGGTTAGAAACCGTAAAAGAAAGTTAAAAATAACTTTAGAAAATTTATAAAGTCCCAGTTTCACTTTCTAATTTTACCTAAAATAACAGTCTCAAATTTTTTTTAAATTACGATTTTTTCATTATTTTATTATATTCTAAATCCAAATAATCCTAGTAGAATAACTTTCATTCTGCTAACTTTTTAAAAAAACCTTAATGTTTAGCTCCTATAGTATACTAAGTCCTGGGTTTACAAAACCAAAATACCTAGTTCTGAGTTTTTCATACTGTAGTATGAACAGGAAATGAAGGAAATGAGATTGGAGAGAGGAGGTGGAGTAGAAAACAGAGTGGAGATCAAGTTTATTTAGCTTTAAGAGATAAAGATTGAGGCTATGAAACTGGGAACCTGTGCACTGTCAGTTGAGGATGTAGAATGGTACTGTCCCTAGGGAAAACAGTAGGATGGCTCCTAAAAAAATTAGAATGACCATATGATCAGCAGTTGCTTTTCTTGATACATATTCAGAAGAACTAAAAATAAGATCTTAAAAGAGATTATTTTTGCAATAGTGTTCATAACTGTACTGTCAAAGTAGCCAAGAGAAGGAAGCAACCCATGCAAATGAATAAACAAATGTGATATATAAGTACAGTGGAATATTATAGAGCCTTAGAAAGGAAGGAAATTCTGGTACATGCTACATTATGCAAAATGAAATAAGCCAGCCACAAAAAGACAAATGCTGTGTAATTCCATTTCTGTGTAATACCTAGAGTAGTCAAATTCATAGAAACAAAGGCAAGTGGTAATTCTTGGAGGTTGGATGAGAGGGGAAAAGAGGGAGTGTTGCATGGATGTTAAATTTCAGTTATGATAGTGAAAACTCCTCAAGATAGGTTACATAGCAATGTGAATACACAACACTACTGAGGTATATGCTTACGATTGGTTAGGATAGTCAGTTTTATATGATGCGTTTTTGAACTACAATAAAAAAAGTTTTAATTAAGGAAAAAGAGGTAGAGGAAGCTAAGGTTGCATAAACTTGGTCCTGAAGGACACTGTGATTTTGTTATGAGCAAAAATGATGAGTTTTCTTTAGATAGTTGAATTGAGGTTCCTGCCCAACAGAAATATCCAGAAGGTTCAAGATGTAACAGGATTAGAGCTAGAAGTATAAAGTTGTTATTACATATTAAAAGCACTTGACCTTCACAGAGGGCAGTGAGATCATCCGTGAAAAATAAGTAAAAACATAAAAAGGTGAAAGGTAGAATTTTAGCTTTTAAAGGGACAGCAGTAGTCAAAAAGTGTGAGGAAGAGAAACAGTAGCCAAACATTTAGAACGGGAAACTGTGTAATGGGCAAGTTAGGTGAGGGCAAAGAGTTAGCTTGAGGATTTGGATAGCTGACCTTCAGCGACCTGGTGATGGTGGAGTGGTGGACTGATCTCCTATTGCATTTCTTCTAGAGTTTATCTGTGATCCAATAAAAAAGTTCTATATACCAGAGCATATGGTGTCAAAATCTAGTATTTCTGCTACTTTGGTTTCTTGTAAATTATGAATGTCATTCCTTTTCCTGAACCAGGTTAAGGACCTAATGATCATATATACTCTTTTTCTGTGAGAAGATAGCATCCAAGTTTTGAGTGACTTGCAGGTAAACTCACATTATCTAGTGTGTTTAAGCTGGAGACTTGGACTTACACACTTTGAATTTCAATGCTTGGTCAACAGGTTACAGTAGAAAACACACTAAAAATTGACTCAATTATCAAAGACAAACAGTAACATGAATGTAAATGTAGTGTATGGTATGTTTAGCATCTGCCCCACATTGCTTTACATTTTGAATGTTACAGAAAGGGGAACATTCTTTGTACTTACTTTTCACTGTATGCTCTCTGTATATTTTGGTTTCCTAATTTTGAGCGACTTAATAGTTGCCATATCTTTGTAACCTAAAAATGAATATTACTTGTACAAGCAATATTTTATGTTTTCAGTGAGTTTTTACATGATTATCTTTCTTGTAGATTTTAATGTTTTTCTTATATCTTGCCTGTAATGTGAGCATTTGTTTCAGTTAGATCATTCTGAGTTTCTGTAGCCTTTGAATTTTACAAATCCACTGAGAAAACAAATCTGAATAATGTACAGAAATCCATCCTCACTTCTTTTAGAAGAATAGTTTGGAATACATATTTTATTGCTAGCAAAGAAATTGATTTTTTTTTCCTTTTTATCGGTACCGCGGATCGAACTCACAACTGCCTGCTTGCAAGGCAGGCGCTTATGCCGCTGAGCTAAATCCCAGCCCCAAAGGAATTGATTTTTTGTACACAGTTGAACCCAGGGTGCTCTACCACTGAGCCACATTCCCAGCCCATTTTGTTTTTTATTTTGAGGAAGGGTTTCACAAAGTCATCAGGGCTGGCCTTGAACTTTCAATTCCTTACCCTACACCCTTGAGAAGATGGGAACAATAGGTGTCTACCATCGCACCCAGCCTGATATTTATATTTTAAAACATGAATTGGTTGTATTTTATTCACACTATTGTTAATATCATTCAAACCAGAGCTGAGGCCGCATTTTAGCCTTGCATCAGAGAGTGACACCGCTGATCCGGAAGACTTGGATGTAGAGGAAGAGCACGAGGAACCACCTTCCAATCAAACAGTCCGAAGACCCCAGGCTGTCATTGAAGATGCTGTTGCCACCTCAGGGGTGAGCACACTGAGCTCCACTGTGTCTCATGATTCTCAGAGTGCTCACCGATCACTGAGTGTGCAGCTTGGAAGGATGAAAATAGAAACTAATAGGTAATGTGCTGATATGAACTAGTTCTTTTACTTCTATAAGACTGTATGTGTTTTGGTCTACTTTAAAAGTCTGATCCACAAACATACAAAATATGATTCCTGGCCTGGGAGTGTAATTCAGTGACACAGTGCTTGCTTATCATTACAAGACCCCAGGTTCAATCCCCAGTATCCCACAAACAAACAAACAAACAAACACAGTGTGATTTCTCCATTCCATGTGTATAAACCTGATTTAATGCTTCTCTTTATAAAACCAGAGAGCTGAATTTTAGTATATTTATTCCAAATGCCTCTTTTGCCTCTACCACTTCAAACTTTCCTCAGCACCATTTCTTTGCTGCTTTATTTCCAAGTGCACTGAAATTTGCCAAGTAACTGAGTTGTAACCTCAGATATGCACAGAGTTGGAGCAACATGTTCTTTCTAATTGATAACTGAAAGACAGAACAGAAAACCTGTGATTTGGAATATCAGCTTCTTTTAGGAGAGGAAGATTCTGTACTTGAGGAGGGGACAAAATTAACTTTGTAGTTCAAAACCTTGAAATGATGCTAATTACTCCTTTTATAATTCAACTCTATTTTTAATGTGCCATGATATATCTGGAGTTTGTCTTTGAGAATTTGGTAGCATAAAACTTATACTATCAGGTTATTAGGTGAACAGCAAATACTTCCTGTTCTCAGATATCAACATAGTTCAAGGTCTGAATCTAAGATTTATAGCTTCCTGTGCCAGCTACCATTGATGTGGGAAACTGATTTTATGGCTCTGGGTTTTCAGTGAAAACGGGGAGGGGGGGTGTTTCAATAGAAGTTATTTAAATTTTAGAAAGCATAAGTGAAAATTCTAGTTGTTCACCAAGGAGATATAAATATTTCACTTCTAGCCATAAATTTAAAGTTTTTAAAGTTAGGTTTAAATGCCAAACTTAATACAAAGCCCATTCTTTATTCAGGAAAATGAATTTTGGTTGCATCGTGAAGTAAATCCATATATATCTATTTCCATGGAGCTGTCTTTTTTTAATGAAGGGAAATTAGCTCTCTGACTTCCATATCCCAATCTCATCTTCTCAATCCTGATCTTTACCTACCATCTCTACTACTTGGGAACAAAGAATTTGGGTGTTTTCTGAGAGTTCATCTAAATCTTAATGTCTCTCATTCTTGTTTTTGTCAAGCAATAGTTCAATATCAGTCTATTATGATAGGAGCTACCTTTAGTTACTTCTCTTTAATCTTCTCTGTTACAGAGTCTTGTGTGGAGGTGTTTCTTAGGATGCATATGCTACTGTGTGGAAGAGTTCCTGACACACAGTTTCTGGTTAGAATTATACAAACGAGGCTGGGGATTTAGCTCAGCAGCATAAGTACCTGCCTTACAAGCAGGCAGTCGTGAATTCGATCCCCAGTACCGATAAAAAAAAGAAATTATACAAACAGTAAAGTTGCTTTGTTTACTAAAGAGCTGGTCTATCTGCCTTTCTGGCCCCTAAAGGATCCATCTACACACCCATGTTGTGTCAACAGTCCTGCCTCTCTGAATGCAGCCTGGATGTGTACTCTGTTCCTTTCTCTTTTGCCAGTTTGATTGGTCTTGTGTTTACCACCTGGCACTGCCTTCTGTCCTTGTGCTTGTGCCATTAGCTGTCCCTACGAGCTGCTCTTCTCCAGCTACTTTCTTTACATTTCTCTTCTGAGAGACTCAGCCACAGCTGCCCTGGAGTCCTTCTCTGTTGAGAAGACTGGGATTTACCATCTTACTTTAGTACCTAACTGCATTTTCCCTAATAGCCCACACATTTGTGTGTTTCCTCTATGTATTTACAGTTCAATCTGAAATCTACAGGTTTATTGATCTCCTTTTTTTTTTGTAGTGTCTCCCATGTCGTCTCCTATATACCTCAGAAAAGTAAGATGAAATCCAATGTTTGCTTGACACAAGATTGAAGAAAGGGCTGTGGTTTAGTATAAGCATTGAACCACTGAAATCAGGGACCAGTCATGTCTGTATTGGTCCTTATAATTTTCAGTTGAATATTACTTGAAATATAAAAGTGCATGTTTTACAAAATGAATATAGAGAAAATATAGATACGTTTTAAGGAAAGATTGTAGGTCTCATGTTAAAAGTTTTAGGCATATTCTAGACATGGTGGTGCACACAGGAGGATTGCAAGGTCAAGACCCATCTTGTGTAATTCAGCAATAGCTTGTCTCAAAGTTAAAAAAACACCTAGGATGTATTTTAGTGGTAGAGCACCTCTGGATTCAATCTCCAGCACCACTAATAATTTAATCTTACAATATTTAGGATAATCACTGATGAAGATGTCAGGTTTATCTAGCTCTTGGTTATTAGATCATCAATAATTCAAAATGGCAGAAAGTACAAAAAACAAAAAAACTTTAGAATGTGTGTTTTGTTTCTGTTAAAAAACATGGCTTACATAAAATGTTCCCAAAATTCACTTTACACAAAGGAAAGGCAGGAACTTTATTAAAACCTAACTCAGAGCTGATTAGTTGTTTTAATTTCCTAGCCTAAAAGTCTGTGATTACCTATCAACCTACCTTATCAGCCACATCATCTGAGTTACAAAAAACTTGACCCCATGGTAAATCCTTGCCATGCATTTCCAGACATATGCCATCATTACAGACTATCTCCCTACTGACTGAACACAAAATAAAACTAAAATTGATGAACTGAATATATATTTAATTAGTTTTAAGAGCTAGATTGGGGCAAATGAGGTAGCCCATCAGTACTGTGCTTCCAGTGTTAAGTTGGCTTTGGAAGATAGGAACTATGTGGCCTAGATAAACATGTTAAATTCTAGAAATTGGCCCTGTGTTCTGTAAGGAAACAGTAAGAATATGCTTACTGTTCATACATGTAAATTAGCAAGGTAGACAAAAATATACAACAAACCAAAAGTTGCCAACTTAAAAATTCATATAGCACTTACTATCCATTTCTTTGAATATCATTCCTGTTTCAGTAGAAAATCTTCCTCTAGCCCTTTGCTTCCTCTTTGTGCTGTCAGTTCATGCTGCTTGATCCATCTAATTGTTTATCCTGTTAGCTCTGCAGGTCTTTGTTTGCCTGTCCTCAACCCCAACCCCACCTTCTCTGTCTGCGCCTCAGTGTATTTTACTCTTCTCCTATCTGTGCTACCTACTCCACTATGATCCCTCTTCCTTCCTAAAGGCCTCATCTTTACGCACCATGGGAGTAGGGTAGAGCTTAGGAGTCAGGACAGGAACCCAGACTGAGCCCTGGGGAGGCTCTTTTCCAGAGCCTGAAGCTGCAGCACAGCACAAAATAGTCCTTATTAAAGTCCAGGCACAGCTTATTTTCCCTATGTCATCTAATTTAATGATCATGAGGTTTTCCTGTTCTTTTTCACAAATGTACAAACTGAAGCCTAGAGGCACCAGGAAGTGTATTGCTGAACCAGAATATATTCTTCATTTGTACTTTGTTGCTCTCAGAGCATGTTACCTGGAGCAGAAAGAAACTCCTATATAGAACATGGTCCTGAGTCAAATCTGTCAACAAGAAAAGAAAAAAGAACAGCTGAGTGTGGTGGCCCATGCCTGTAGTCCCACAGCAGGCTGAGGCAAAAGGACTGCTAATGAGTTTGAGGCTACCGTGAGCTACATACTCCCAAGACCAGCCTGAGCTTTATAGTGTGACCCTGTCTCAAAGAATAAAAGAAAAAAGATAGCTTGTTAAGAGCTATAGGTGCATGGTAATTTATCTTCATAATCTCATGAATAATGATATATTTTAAAATCAGGTATGGTGGTGCACACCTGTAGTCCCAGCCTTCATGAGGTTGAGGTAAGAGGTTTGTGAGTTCAAGGGCAATTTGGACTACCCAGCAATTAAGACTGGGCATGATTACATAGTGAAACCACGTGTCAAAAAAAAAAAAAAAATATATATATATATATATAGAGAGAGAGAGAGAGGGAGAGAGAGATATGGCAGAGGTGATTCTGAATCTAAGTTACTAAACAATACCGCATCTCTTTGTATAACATGGATAATTTTCTTCAGGAAGCAGTGTGGTTAAAGTGAATAGGTTACCATTTGGTTCTGAATTACCTAATGAACCTTCCATAGGCAAGAACTAAATTATGGGTATCATAATTTTTCCTTGTATTTTTGGAGATGGTGCCAGATACCAACTAGAAACTGAATGTACACAGCTATCCTTTTAGCCACTTCACGAACCCTAGCCACCTCCACAAGTGAGAAAATAACAATAATCACAACCACAGTTTCAGCAACATTTATTGAGCACTTGTCATACAGTAGGTGTTCTTGGCAGCCTCACTTAGATCTAGTTCTCCAATTTCTATAGTTAAAGAAAATCAATTACCATTCTGCTTTGCATAGATTATGGTATTAATCATATTTACCAACTTTAATTTCAGAATGTCACTTTGTTAAACTCATATTTTTGACATGTATGGTCATCAGAAGTAGAACAGTACCTCTGAGGATTGTGACAGACCATATAGAATGGAGATTTTGAATCGTTGCCTGGAAGCACAATCTTCCAGATCTTTGCTGCTGGCTGGGGAGTGGAGGCATGGTGAATTTGCTGTGGAAGGTGGGAGGTGGTTTATGGGTCTGTAGCATCAGCGCTTCTTGGGCACCTGTTCCACAGTCAGTCTCCAACCTCACCCCCTAGCTTCTGGAACACAATCTGTGTTTGTATAAAATCCCAGGGATATCTGTGGTCACTGTATCGTGAGAAGCCCATTTTCTAGAGGATCACTGTTTGTCGGCTTCAGCTTTATTATCCTGTCAAACAATATAATTTTCCTCTACAGACTACTGGAAGAATTGGTTCAGAAAGAAAAAGAATTACAAGCCTTCCTTCATCAAGCCATTGAAGAAAAAGAGCAAGAAATTAAGCACCTGAAGCTGAAGTACCAGCCAATAGGTGAATAGCAAGAAATTTCAAAGTAATGCTGTTCAACTAGGCTGAACAAAAAGCTGAGGAGGCCGACTTTACTTCATGGTTTAGTCAGCCTCCATCTCTTATACCACGATGACAAGCAGGGATTACTTTTTTAAAAACTTCACGGGGATGCAGCTCAGTATCACAGCACCTGCCTGTCAAGCACAGGGCCTTAAATTTGATTACTGGTGCCCCCCCCCCCCACTAAACCCCAAAATTTTAAAAACCTGAAAACTAAATTTTTAACTGTAATTATCATTTTTGTGAGTTTAGTAAAAATAGACAATTCATAGGGTTTTTCTCAAGTTAAATATTACTGAATGTATATATACACATATATTAGGGCTTTTAGTCTTTATTTCTTTTTAAGATATCACAGTGAGACTACTAGAATAAAATAATATTCTTTTGTTATTTTGCATTTGTATTCTAGCCTTCCTCTTAACAATTTGAAGAGGCTTAAATATAACAATGAAAAAAGTAGGTTAGAAACTTTTAAGAAATCTATGAGAAACTGTGGATGAAAGATAATCTTTAGAGAATCTTATTTAACCCATTTTGAAGAAAATAGTCATTTGTGTGGAGTGTTTTCATATTATCACAAATAGTGAAAAACATAATTTTATAATTATTCGCTGTGTTCATCTTAGTTGCGCAAAGCATAATTTTAGCACACAAAGATTATTACAAGAAACTGCAAAATTGGTATGGAAGTACAAAATGGGAGTATCACTACATTATTGTCTCTGACTCTTTATTCATTAGTGGATTAACCAGACTAGTTTTCTTTAATTATTATTTATATCACCAATCTCAGTTGTTCTGTAATTAGTCTCTGCTAGAGTGAAATCTTTTAAAGGCCTTTTAAATGTCTGTGGACTGTAAGATGAAGCTAAGAGTGTCACCCCAAATTCAATTCTAGATATCCCTGAGTTGCTAGTATGTCACCCGAATCCTCCACACCGAAACACTGATAATTCTGAGCTCACAGACTGGCTGAGACAAAATGGAGCTGATGAAGACACTATAAGTCGGGTAAAGAAAACTATCTGTGGGACTCATGTTCTTTCAGTTCATTTCAAAAGGTTGTATGTCTGATATGTGCCAGAGAACCTTTTAGGCTTAGGGGATCCCTGGGAAGCAGATGGCAGCCAGCCTTGACCTCGTTTGTGGCGCATGGCACACTGACAATAACTGGAAATTCCACAGATAAAATCCTACAGCGGTAAATTCCATGAAGGAAAGGTTTCCAGTTGTATGAGGAAGTGGGAAATCTTGGGGAAGGTATTCTAAGAAAGTGACAGATGAATCTAAAGGGATACATAGGTATAAACAAGGCCACTTGGATGTATGTTTGAGGGGGTCAGAGGAGGAGAAGATAATTTCGAGATGGGGTCGTAGGGTGTGCATTGACAAAGAGGCAGGCAGGTTTTTTGTCCACAGCCTCCAAGGTTTTTCAATTTTTTTGAAATAAAAATAAAAGTTAAAAAAGTCAGAACCAAAAGATAAAAAGTTATTTTGTTGATAATTCTTTCTTTTGCTAAATTTTTAATTCTCTTCCAACATTCATAGACTCCTCGGGCAGCAGTTATTTATTACTACTTAATAAAGTAGATCTAGTTGGTAAATTTATGTCAAATATGTTTCATATGCAAACCATATAACGTCTTTAACAACCTAATTTCTCTCTGATCATTGTACACTTAATATATAAATGAAAAACATTTGTATATTAAGATTATATAAACACATTAAGAGGTGATCTTTTTGACAGGAAGAACCTCCTATTTCAGTTTATATTTAAATTTTTAAAATAACTTAAAGATACCTTTCCCATTTACTTGATGATATATTGGACAACTAAACTATAATGTAGCTGTCCTTGGAAATTCACATTTAATAAATTGTTGCTAACTAAATTGAAACAACTCCCTTGCCAATGCAAAATAATGCATCCAAGCAAGTCTTCTAAAATACTTATTCTTCTAACTAGAACTCAAGTGACAATTAAGGAGCAGTAATTAGCCACTAAATAGGTGCTTTTTTATTGGATTTAAAATAAAAAGCTTCGGTTTAAATTCATGACTCTTTTTCCGGTGAATTACGTAAAAATCTCTTTTTTAAACTGGAAAAAATAAAGTCTAGAGACTAAATATAAAAAGTAAGTATCCAGGAACATTTTACCCCCTTGAGAAAGCAAGCTGTATTGAGCCAGCGATTTAGCTCAGTGGCGTAAGCACCTCCCTAGTAAGTGCAAGATCATGAGTTCGATCTCTGGTACCAAAACACACGTGCCACCCCGCAAAAAAGGAGAAGAAACAAAGCTATGTGGCACCAAACCTTTTAACGTATAAAACATCTGCTTTGGACAGCAAGTGTAATTACAAGTAAAACTTAATCTGTTCATTCGAAGTCCATCCAGATATTCTGTGTCACTTGTAATCTTTATGCATTTTATAGCAAGGAGGCTTTTGCCCTATAAATTTCAGAAGATTGTTTTTAGTGCATTTCCTTTGAGATTCATTTTTATTGATTGCTGATGTTTGTGTATTACAGATGGAGTTTATTAAAGGTAGACAATACCAACTTACTTTTACATATATTTTACTTTCTCTACAGTTTTTGGATGAGAAGTATACACTAGTGGACGTTCTCTACTACGTTACACGTGATGATCTAAAATACCTGAGACTAAGGTACCACTTTTGTTTCTGTGTGATTGGCACAATGGAAAGAGCACTGGGCTGATATAAGGAAGTCCAGGTTCCGCCTGGTTAGATACCGAGCACTGCACTTCTAGGCACAGCTCTTGGGTTTGCAGCCACTCTGTGTCAACTTAATTGTGCCAGGCTATTTTTGGATGTTGTAATAAGCAGTAGTTGTATGTAACTGAAAATTAACTAGAATAATTTTCCTGACTAACATACACTAACATACACTATGACCATTTAAATATTCCTAGGTTGCTATAAACACTGTAATTTAGTTCATGACTGTTTCATCCTTTTTAAAAATAATTAGGAAAAGGGGCTAATATAATCTGATACAATTTCTTAACATAGTTTTCTCTACCAAGTGAAACATATCTATAATTATTACAACTCCATCTCTAAAGATGAATTTCAAAAATTCTGAAATCTAAAATGGTGTTTGAGGGCCTGGCAGTCTGTGGGAGTAGATGGGAAAGGAATAAATGATGACAAAATATGTCCAAAAGTTACATTAGAACTGATAAGACTTTGGGATCTTCCTGTTCTGACCCAAGCAACTGAAAGCTAAGAAGTCATTTTTCTATTTCAAGGGCAGTGTTTCAAGAACAATGTTCTCTTCTTTCTGTTCTTGTGTCTTTAACAGGGGAGGGATGCTCTGCACACTGTGGAAGGCCATCATTGACTTTCGAAACAAACACATTTGACTGGCGTGCAACTTAACCTTCAGTGGAGATTCTGAAAATTAAAACAGAATTGATCTCAGAGGGGAAGGAGAATTGAATGGAAAGAAGAAAGAAGCTGCACTTTAAATCCAGTATTTGTTTACTCTTGTTTAAAAAAATAGATAAAACACATTGAAATTTCCTGTTTCTATTTCTACAGTTCTTAAGGACTCTTCATAAAGACTCAAAATAATCCTAATTAGGATTCTAATGTTGAGGATTATTTTAGTCTAAACGTTTTTTATGGAGGTATTTTTAACTCAGCAGCTATTATACTTCAACCAAATGTTTATTTCACACAAAAGATACAACATTTCATGTGATTGTGCACCACTGGAACAAAACCAAAATGTGACCATAACTTTTAGGATTATATGTGTTTGTAATATGCCTAAGAATCTGAGTAGAAATGCATAATTTCAATGATTGTATAAAGTTTATTTTTTTTAAGTGTGCAGAATCTGACAGCAGTGGTTTTTGCTATCTGTATTAATTGTAATATTAACTGTATTTCATAATTTAAGTTTCTGGCCTGTCATATTTGTTTGAGTTGTTTGTGTACTACTGAACTGTACCAGTTGCACATGCCTGGATGATAGTAATGTTAGCTTGTTCTAAAGCTATCCATTGTGTCATATTTACTCTAAAAAAATAAAGAGATTTCATTTGAGATTTTGTTTGAGAAATTCCAAAGAATTCTTATTTTGTGCTGACCACCTAGGTAAACAACTCTTGTCAAATTTCTAGTTGTTTTTCAACTCTAACATTTAGTGGAGTCCATTGATATCCAAAGTATTCCCCCAATAGAGAAAGAATGAAGGAAAAAGAGAATAAAGGAAAATCAGAACAGGGCCCAAGGCATCTTGAATGACAATTATATATCTTTTTTTTTCTTTTTCTTTGTCTTTGTCTTTTTCCTTTTTATCAGTACCGAGGATCGAACTGACAACTGCCTGTTTGGAAGGCAGGCGCTTATGCCGCTGAGCTAAATCCCCAGCCCCAACAATTATATATCTTAAACTGTCTTCAAACAACATCATTATAGAAAACATTGCATTTTTTGTTTCTTTAACGTAGTTCTCATATTTGGGGGAAATATTTTTATTTTGAGCTTAATATTACATATTTTTATGAATCCACCTCTGTTAACAGTATAAAGTCCAAAACTCATAGGTAGGTGAATCAAAAAAATTTCTTACGTACAGAAGAACCTGTTTGTTAGGGAAGAAGTAGCAGAACTGTTTATGTATCATAACTTGACCATAAGTGAAGCTTTGCCAAAACAGGAGCCATCTTTATTTCCATGTAAAAATCAATTGCAATATATTTTATATTGTTCTACTCAAGGGGCAGATGTGTCTCTGTGCCTGTGAGCTCATAATACATTCCCAGACCAACATTAGTGTGTTATCAACAGTTTGTGTCTCAGGCACAAAAGAAGGCAGTTCTATTATAGATCAACACTCATGCAGGTTCACAACAGGAAGGCACTTAGCATCAGTCTAGACCAGGAATTCTCAAACCAGCTTCATGTTAAATACTTTTTAATGTATTAATGCCATCAGGGCTGCTACAGTTCATGGGACAACACTTTCCTTACATGTGTCAGGCCCCTAGTTTCATCCCTAGCCCCACCATCATAAAAAGGTACTCTTATCATTTAAGAAAAACTGTTCTCATTAACCTAGGGCAAAGATACTGTTTTTAAAATGACCTAAGACAGTCCAATCCCACTATTCCATTTTAGATGAGGCCTCGAGAGAAATGAGAGCCCTTCCACGGGGCAGTAGTAAGGTGGTTATTCCCTCAGCTGTCATAGTATGTCACAGACCGTACACACAAGCCTGGAGCAAAATCATCACTACACGTGGAACCCTGGGCAACCCTAGCTTCTCTCAGTTTCACTTCCCTCTCTGAAATGGGAGAAATGTGGTATCTTCCTCACAAAGTTGGAAAATTCAAAAACAACAACACGTGGGGTGCTTGGTTTACTATGCACTCTTAGCATATAGTAAGGACACAGGTGTAGCCTGCTGTTGGGATGACTTGTAATTCAAAAGCATTTAACAACACACACACACTGGTAGTACATGCTGGGTGTATTCATTAGACATGACTTCTCTCTTGCTCCTCATGTTCACTGTCAGTGGTGGCATCAAGACTGTGGTGTAGGAAATGCCATGGTTACTTTTAACTGCCAGGGGGATCAAAAAAAGCTTTCTAGAGAAGTAAAGGCCCAGAGCTAAGCTTGTGAAGATGGGGTGGAACAATACAGGGGTCCTGGCAGAAGTTCTAAAAGAGAAACTACACGAATGTGCTGGGAGAAGTAGCTCCAATGTTTTTTTGGACCTACTTTTTGTTTGTTTGTTTTGCTTTGTTGAGACAGGATCTTGCTTTGTAGTTCAGGCTGGCCTTGAATCCACTATGGAGTCCAGACTGGCCTCAAACTCATGGCATCCTCCTGCCTCAGCTTCTCAAGTGCTGGGAATATAGGCATGTGCCACCATGCCCAGCTTTTAAGCAACATTTTTGTCTCTTCAAATTCTGTCATTGAATGACATGAAGAAAGCTACCACATAAAGGAATCTGGCAATGAGGAATTACTATTCACCTATCTGAACACCTACTGTGTGTGCAGCACTGTGGCAGCATGGAAAGTGACACATGATGCCCACCACGTTCAGAATGCAGACAGTTCGTGTGACATCAGCAAAGACATTTGCAACCTGTGGAAAAATAATTGATGGTTCCAGATTGAATAGAAACCCTGTAGAGAAGTAGAAGACAAAGTCCTGCTGCTAAACATGTACACCAGATTGAAGGCACAAATTTGCAATAAATATGGCATAGTGTTATGCTAATGACTTGGCATGTGGCAAGCAGCATCCCCCTGGGGCACTCAGTGGACAGGCCCCACTTGCGCAGACATCATGGAGGAGAAGAACCCTAACCTGGGCCTGGTAGAGGGGCATCATTAAATATGCCAGGACATGGCATGAATGCAGGCAGAGAGCTCTAAGAACAGTGACTAAAAAGAGGATATTTGGAAGGTGTTCTGAAGAAAAGGAACAATTTATTGGCTAGAAATATGAAATACAGAAGCAAAAGGTAGATAACGGGATATGACTGGACTCGGAGTGATTTGGAGAAGGGGAGGGGTTGCTACTTAGCTAGAAATGGGGAATCTACTAAAGGCCTTTGAGTAAGGGGTATGTGTGCAGTTGCTTATTACAAGATTAATCTGGTGACATAAACTAAGAAGAACTAATGTGAATGAGGCTCAGGCAGGAGTCAGGCCCATAGGAAGCAAGTGGGTGGCGAGAATGAACTCAAAGATCGGGGACTGTGGACAGCGAGGACATGGGAGAGGAAAAGCCAGATGCTAAGGCTATGATGGAGAAGAATTCAAATGTGGGAAATGTTGGAGAGGAAGCCAAATTGGATTCATGACAGCACTGTGATGGAATTGCAGAGACCATTGAGAATGAACTGAAAGGATGCAGGCCGAGGTCAAGGTTGGGTATTCTAGATCTTGGAGTCATCTAGATGAGTTATTAGTAAATAAGATCTGAAAGACACAGAGGAGAGGTAGAAAGACTGCATCGTAAAATTTGGAGAGGGTGAAGATCTAAGGAGGGAAAGAGAATCTAAATCAACAAAAGAGAAAAAATACAAGCACAGAGGAATAAGAAAAAACAGGCCAGTGCTGGACCAAAAGGAGTCTTACTTGATGTAGGATCAAATCTGCAGAAAGTCTAAGGAGACAACAGAGTGAAAAATAAGTAACCTGATTTTGTGACTTGGAAAGTTTTTATAGCTAAGAAAAATTATATGGCTTATTAAAAAAAAAAGCCACACCACCAGAATCCTTTTATTACCTACGGTGAACAAACAGTATGAAGGTAGCTTTAGGAGGGTGGAAAGTCAGGAAGGGGGAGAAATGTTCAGAAGTAGAAAGTTGTGAATGTTTGTTGGGGTAGAGCCCCTGGACACAGAGACATTTAGGAAGTAGAAGGGGAATCTTCTTAGAAGGGGGGAGCAGGGGAGCAGATGGTGTGAGGAGGTCCAGCTCCTCCCCCTGGGAAGGGGAGCCATGAAGATTTGGGGAGATTGGAGATGGATGTGGGAGCACAAGGCAGATGGCTTCTGTGCTCCATGCGAAGTACAACAACAAGTACAATGCGCTGGATGGTGTCTGACATTTACCAGACGCCAACCACTCTGCATAGTCAGCAGCAGCCCATCATGCTGCTTGGAACACACACAGAATCTAAGTGCAGAGTTGGTGTGTTCCTTGCTGTATTTATTTTTGTTTCACTTAGTGCAGACTGAAACATAAGTTATCAAAAGAATGGGAAAACTGAAAAACATACACCAAACCAAATGAAACAAAACAAACCTACATGACAATATGTCAACTTTGTTATGGTTCAAAAAAAGAGCTCACTGATTTACTCAGGAGTGGTTATCAGAGGCTGGGTATATGACTCAGTGGTACAGTGCTTATCTACCTATGTGTGGGAAAAACAAGTCATCAGAAGGTTAAAACAAATCACCTTCCTGTTCCATGGGTCTGCCAAATAGCCAACTCTAAATTCAGTTGAGAGTCTTCCAAAGTGTCTTTAAACCCTGACAATGTAGCAAAAAAATACCTTTCCTGAGGCCCAATCTTAAGCGACCTCCATTCACCTGGTGCTTTATTTTTAATGATTAGAAGTCTGGTGGAATTGATTTGAAAATGATTAGGGAATATCACATTGCTAATTTTATCTTTTCGTTGTAGTAATGGCACTATAGGGAAAGCTATACCCATAGACCACAACAGAAACGTCTCTTAACCAAAATTTCTATTTAGTCAGAAAACCAGCAGCCCAGACGAAAACGGTCCACTCTTGAGCTCAGAGTGGCAGGTTTCACACGTAAGGATTGTGCGCATTTTCACCCTGGCAGGACATACAACAGTTCTCAGCCATTCTCCAGTGCGCAATCCATTCTGCTGCCGACCCTGAAAGGGTTTAAACTGTTGAGAGCTTGCTGGTCATGTTCAGCCAACCGTGGGTGTGGGAGTGCATTTCTGTGTAACCAGGCGGAACAGGTCGCTGCACAATTCTTGTTTCTATGTTTCCATTTATGTAGCTTACTCATTATTTTTTTCCTCAGCATTTTGTTGCAGATCATTTATTTGTTAGGACAGAAACTCGTTGCTCCTAGGTCAATAATCTATTTCTTAAAAATAAAACAAGAAACAAACAAAAATGTTACTGATTGCTTTCATTCCTTGTCTTCTTACTAGTTGGAAATCAAGAATAACAAAAGCCCCAACAGTAGGCATAGGTTTCATCACCTTGTGGCTCATCAGATTCTGGAGCTCATCAGATCTGCAGATTGCAATGGCTCCCTAAAACCACCCGGCAAGACCAGATCCAGATTGTAGCGTGGGATCCGGCCCGTGCATTTCGCCTCTGGAGGCATCAGATTCTTTGGCGACCATAACAGGACTTTCAGTCCCCAAGAAACTAGTGCTGACCCGGGGTCTGCGGAGTTTAGAAGGAACAGAGCGTCCCCATGCCCTTAGAGCACCATGGGTTAATCTCAGACACAGGTCCCAAGCTCTAGGTAGCGCCACCACGCCTCGTGGACACGCCTGTAGTCCTCTGGCGCCGGGCGGCC